TCTCTCTCTCTCTCTCTCTCTCTCTCTCTCTCTCTCTCTCTCTCTCTCTCTCTCTCTCTCTCTCTCTCTCTCTCTCTCTCTCTCTCTCAGGCCTTGCTTCCTATCTGAATGTCTCCTCGCTCTCTCACTACCCTAGTTAGCTATGGTGCACAGAACCAGTTGACTACAGGTATTGGTTCTGCCTCACCCCAGCCATGCTTGTTGCCTGGTCGCACAACCACTTCCACAACTAGCACGAGTCAGCAAAGATGTTGATGCCCGCTGCTGCTGTGCTTTCATATCCAATCATTCAGCTGCCTTTCCTCGGACTTTCCAGACCGGTACTGTTACTGGTGGCCATGGTTTCGGCCGCTAACAGGTGCAGAATTTTCATTCGCCTTTTTCCTGGGACTCCGGACCACCGATGTGACTGGACTGGCTAACCTGCCAGACTGAACCCTACGGCACAAAATTTGGCCTGCTAACTACCGGACTGGACTTAATGATACATGGGACTCTGGAGGCTTGGGACTGGGACGGGGACAACTGATACCTGTGAAATCCTTTCGCTGCAGTCATGAGCTCCACGACAACTAGTTAAGATGGTGAAATCACAACAGGTATAGTCGAAAAGATGGACAAACCAACACACACATAACACTGGCAACACAAGATGCAGCACACCCACCACCCTGCCGTCTTCCCCTGAACCAGGACACACCGTCATCACAAACATATAGAGGCTACTTTTCCAGTTCAGTACAGTCATGATCAGGGTCCGTTGTGTTTCGGGGAAGACGGTAGCGATAGAGCCCGGTGACCAAGGTTGCAGGCCAAGTGGCCCAGACTTCCTCCTGCCAAACAGATGCCTCTATCTTTCCATGCCCCATCTGTCTGCCTGGCTTGCTGAACGCTTTCTTACCACTACCTTACTGCTCATAGGCACTGCACCTGCCTTGTGGCTGAACGGTACCAGCATGTAACTGTTAACAAAACAGGTCGTGAGCAAGAACCTGGCCATAAAACTGGTGATATTTGTGCCAGCATAAAAGAAACCATAAGCATAGCACCAATGGGTCTCAACCTGAGACTAATGAAACTAGTTGAAATTATATCGACTGCCCCACTCTTCGCTTTCGTGAGTGCACTCAACAGTCACTGCACCTCCCCTTCTCACCGAACTAATGTAGCTAGTGCCGAGAGCACTCACCAGTCACTGGACCTCGCCTTCTCCCCCTACCCAGCATACATTAGCAGCGCCTAGTAGTCAACAATATTGGGTTCCATTGCACCCAAACAATGCTGGTTAAGGTCCTGATAATGCTAGCCTGGGGAGTGAGTGGATTATCTCTAGATGGGTGGCACCGAGCACACCCGGGCATGTACACGAGGTCAGCGGGCATGTACACGAGGTCAACCGGAACTGCACCATGGACTCCTATCGCAACTTGTGTGCCTTACTAACTGAGCTCACCCCACTGGCCTGCAACGGCAATCTCAGGAAGTAGCACCCCCGCTCTCCTGAAAATGGATATCCAAACAGCATATCTCAATAGAGCTCCTCTACATCTCCTAGAAAAGGTCACTTCTCTCCTTATTCAAACGCTGAAAGCACGTAGGGAGAGCTCAGTTAGTAAGGCACACAAGTTGCAATGAGAGGGTGTGGGTTACGAAAGTGCACAAAACAAAGCACAAATAATTTGAAAAAAGAAGAAAAAAAAAACAGAGACAGCAACAGCAACTCCACTCTCATCCGAAAATTTTGAAAATTGCGGAAACTGGAGAACAGTTATGCTTCCTTGAGGAGGTTAACTTGGGAGATGTTCCGCTGCATCCTGCTTCACCGCCAATTACTACGAGCAAAACAACCCACCTTGTTTCTTGAAGAACTACGCTCCATCACGACCCCCAGCATCTCAGGACCTGCATCATCACATCGCAAGCGACACAGTGTGTCATTCGTTAACTAGCGCATGCATTACCGCATCTGATCAGTCCCTCACC